AGACCCAGTCTTCCCAAAACCACTCCCGAGAGAACCACAGATTAGCAGCCTTCTGACTTCCCCGTCCCGTACCTCTGCGCGCACGGAGGAATGGGAGAGCAGGTGCCTCCGAAACCCTCGGCCGCCTGAGAATCTTGCACGGGGTGAGCGGCGATTAGGTTTTTGGAGAGCGATCTGTGACTGCTCGTCCATCTTCTTCCTGCTGGAGATCGCTCTAGGATCCGTCTTCTCCCTGGATCGTCAAGGCGACTTCTTCCTGGTGATCCGTTCGTGTGACTGCACTGCGAACATCTTCCTGCATCGACTGTGGTCCGCGACTTCGAGCAACGCACTATGTCGACTAGTGCGAATGGAGCCTCCGATGCCCTCGGCATGGGACCCTCCGCTGGGTACAGTCTAATCTCTGTGATTACTGTATTTTGTATTCTTACTGTATCAGTCAGTATATCATCTATGCATGCTGTAGCGTTCATAAGAAATATACACATGCACATATATACTGTCACAAACTTGCTGATGTTATATTTCTGAATTAAACTGATAATGAAAATGCCTAAATATCTAACAATCCAAAAACCTAATAATAGGAAATTTTCTGTCGGTGGATTTGCTGCTGCATTGAAGCCAAATAATTTTGATGGCAAGAATTTTATGATATGGCGTGCAAAGATGGTATTGTGGTTGACTGCGATGAACTGCTATCACGCCGCACAGGGGAAGCCTAAATAGTTCACTCCCGAGGAGGAGCGAAAGTTCTTGGCTGCCGATAACCTGTTTCGAGGCGCCGTGATTAGTGCACTTCATCCCAAGTATGAGAAAAACTACATATCTTGCACTTCAGGCAAAGAGTTATGGGATGCTCTTGAGGCAAAGTTTGGGGTTTCTGATGCTGGCAGTGAGCTGTACCTTATGGGGCAGTTGTATGACTACAAAATGGTTGAAAACCGTTCTTTGGTCGAACAGGCTCATGAGATACAAGCGCTAGCGAAGGAACTAGAACATTTCCCATGTCTGTTGCCCGATAAGTTTGTGGCCGACGGTATAATCGCTAAGTTGCCATCTTTTTGGAGGGATTTTGCTACTTCTCTAAAACACAAGAGACAAGAGTTTAGCGTGGCTGAGCTTATTGGATCTCTTAATGTTGAGGAGAGGGTGAGAGCAAAAGACAACCGTAGAAAAGGAGTTGAGTCTTCCGCCGCCAATATGGTGCAGAAGAAAAACTCATTTGCATCTCGTAATAAAAAGAAGAAGAACATGCAAGAGAACAACAATGCAAAGCCTAGGCAGACTGCACAATTTAAGAAGAAAACCAACAAGAAAGGTGGAGGATGCTTTGTTTGTGGGAGTGATGAGCATTGGGCAAGTGCGTGCCCAGACCGCAAATATAAGCAAGAAAAGAAATTAGCAAACGTGGTCATTAGCGAGACTGGAGGAGGAACATGTGGGTATGGTAATTCTTTACCCTTTGTTCTTTCAGTTTGTCTTTCACCTGAGTGGTGGATGGACAACGGTGCTAATATTCATGTGTGTGCTGATGTTTCTTTGTTTACTTCCTATCAGGCCGGCATGACTGGAGCCTTGCTGATGGGAAATGGTTCGCATGCGCGTGTTCTTGGTGCTGGTACGGTCGTTCTGAAGTTTACTTCGGGAAAGACGGTGCTATTAAAGAACGTGCAGTATGTTAGCGCTTCTCAGATGTGTCGCGATGGCTTTAAAATTGTGCTTGAGTCCAATAAATGTGTTGTGTCGAGACATGGAACATTTGTCGGAAAAGGTTATGATTGCAGAGGCTTGCTCCGCTTGTCTTTGCTTGATGATATGTGTAATAAAGTAGTGAACAATGTTATTGTTTCGGATGAGTCGAATATATGGCATTCACGACTTTGTCACATTAATTTTGGCTGTCTCACGCGGCTTGCAAATCTGAATTTAATCACAGAATTTAACTTTGTCAAAGATTCTAAGTGCTAGGTGTGTGTGCAATCGAAGCAACCGCGCAAGCCTCATAAGGCTACTTAGGCGAGGAACTTGGCACCGTTAGAACTCGTTCATTTTGATTTATGCGAAATAAATGGCGAATTGACTAAAGGCGGTAGACGATACTTCATGACATTTATAGATGATTACACTAGATTTTGCTACGTGTATTTATTGAAAACAAAAGATGAAGTGTTGCATTATTTTAAAGTCTATAAAGCTGAGGTAGAAAACCAACTTGAGAAGAAAATCAAGCGTTTGCGGTCCGATCGCGGGGGAGAATATTTCTTAAATGAATTTTCTGAGTTTTGCGTGGTGCATGGAATTATTCATGAGAGGACGTCACCATACTCACCACAGTCCAATGGGATTGCAGAGAGAAAGAACCACACTCTAACTGATTTGGTTAGTGCCATGTTGGAGACTGTGGGATTATCTAAGGAATGGTGGGGTGAGGCTATTTTGACAGCATGTCATGTCCTGAATAGAGTGCCCACAAAGAACAAAGAAATTACACCATTCGAGGAATGGGAGATGAAGATATTAAATCTCTCTTACCTACGAACTTGGGGTTTTTTGGCAAAGGTGAATGTGCCAATAAACAAAAAGCAAAATCTTGGACCAAAGACTGTTGATGGTGTCTTTCTTGGTTATGCTATTCACAGCGTGGGTTATAGATTTTTAATTATAAACTCTAGTGTTCCTGAGATGGCTGTTGATACAATCATAGAATCTAGAGACGCTACATTTTTTGAGAATGAGTTTCCCATGAAAAATGCACCTAGCACAACTGGTCATGAATTTATAATTCCCCATGAGCATGAAAACTTTATTCCGATAGAACAAATTGAGGAACCCTATGTGTAAAATCCTGAGGAGGATGACACTATAGTCACCAGAAAAAGTAAGAGACAAAGGACCATGAGTTATGGCATTTGTTATACCAGACATCCAAAAGTGATGGAAGGCTACTGTGATGCCAACTAGATTTCTGATGCTGATGAGCTTTATGCCACAAGTGGATATGTGTTTTCGCTTGGAGGTGGCGCTGTTTCCTGAAAGTCTTGCAAGCAGACTATCTTAATGAAGTCTACAATGGAAGCAGAACTCACAACACTAGACACTACTGGATCTGAGGCTGAGTGGCTTCGTGATCTCCTTACGGATTTACCTGTTGTTGAAAACCTCATATCGGCTATTTCTATGAACTGCGATAACCAGACTATGATTACAAAGGTTAACAGTTCTAAGGATAACATGAAGTCCACAAGGCATGTTAAGAGACTACTAAAATATGTCAAGAAAATTGAGAAACTCCGAAGTAATAGCGTTGGACTATGTCCACACATCTAACAATCTGGCAGATCAGTTCACTAAGGGTCTATCACGCAATGTGATAGAAAGTGTATCGAGAGAGATGGGTTTAAGACCTACTTGAAATTTACTATAGTGGTAACATGTTCTATGTGATCGGAGATCCCGTGAAGTAGGACGGTGAAACAAGCTAGTAGCAAATTATGAGGAAAGATCCTTAGCAAGACTCATTTCTTATGCATATCTTTCTTTTCTGTAAGGCAGACTGGCTTTTGTCTTAATGTGTTCCAAGTGGCTTGTTAAAGCAAAGATGTTGTCCTACATAACATCTTTTGAGGAACACACCAATATGAGTCAGACTGCTGGTCACAGTCTATGAGATTTGGGTGATCTTTAAATACTCATGAAAGGCACTGAAGTATGACTTATATGCTTCAAATAGAGGGGGGGGACCTTTTGCTGCCCAGTATCAGCTAAGGACTTTAGTGACATTCACCTCACACAAAACTGTCAATTCAAGGCTTAGTCCATTGTTCAGTTGTGACTGAGTGAAACTATTGTTCTAGATGGATGTTCAACTTAACAGTCTCCATCGAAACACTGGTATATAAAAGAAATGTGGTTCTAAGACTACTTTGTTACAAACCCTAAAGTTTGGTGGGGATTATTGGATATAATATGGGTCTGGCCCATATATTATTTAATAAATCAAATAAAACTCTATGGTACGTAACATTAAGTGTTGTATGGCTTAATACCATATGGGATTTTGACTGAACGCTGACTCAGCTTATATGGTTGGAAATTCTTCATCTAAATTGAGAAGCTGAGAAAAGGATAAAGGCGTGCCACACGTGCGCGCGCCGCCGCCGCCGCTGGCCGGGCCGAGGCCGTGGGCGTGGCAGGCAGGCGGCGAGCGAGCGGGCAGGCGTGGTCAGTCTTTTGACACTTAAATCTACATTATCACAGGAGTTTGAATCCTTGATTGTGGAGGCATACTAACTGCGTCAGTTATAGTCCCTTCCGCTTCCCGTCTCCTGGGATTCTCCGCTGCCTTCATTTCATTCCCCTGTAGCAGCCATATATCCTGTCTTCCGTCAGTCCAGACCCAGTCTTCCCAAAACCACTCCCGAGAGAACCACAGATTAGCAGCCTTCTGACTTCCCCGTCCCGTACCTCTGCGCGCACGGAGGAATGGGAGAGCAGGTGCCTCCGAAACCCTCGGCCGCCTGAGAATCTTGCACGGGGTGAGCGGCGATTAGGTTTTTGGAGAGCGATCTGTGACTGCTCGTCCATCTTCTTCCTGCTGGAGATCGCTCTAGGATCCGTCTTCTCCCTGGATCGTCAAGGCGACTTCTTCCTGGTGATCCGTTCGTGTGACTGCACTGCGAACATCTTCCTGCATCGACTGTGGTCCGCGACTTCGAGCAACGCACTATGTCGACTAGTGCGAATGGAGCCTCCGATGCCCTCGGCATGGGACCCTCTGCTGGGTACAGTCTAATCTCTGTGATTACTGTATTTTGTATTCTTACTGTATCAGTCAGTATATCGTCTATGCATGTTGTAGCGTTCATAAGAAATATACACATGCACATATATGCTGTCACAAACCTGCTAATGTTATATTTCTAGATTAAACTGATAATGAAAATGGCTAAATATCTAACATGTCAGTGGCCGGGAGACGCCTCAGGCCCCAGCAGCCTCTAATATAAGATGGTCTCGAGCTTGGGAGCAAACATCTTTGCCTCACAGATCTGTTGCAAACTGATGAGATCATACAGGTATAGGCTCTTGAGGTTTGGGAATCCCAGCATGCCTTTTTCATGTCTGGCCGCTATTTTCTCTAGGAACTCTTGCTCCACGAGGAAGACCTGCTTGAGATCACCGCAGCAGTGTATGTGGAGAGTATCCGGCACCTTGGATAAGGTATTGTTCGAAGCCATCGGGAGTACATATCTGAGCCTCGGGCAGAAGTGCAGATGAATAGCCTGCAGTTGTGTAAACGATAAATCACTTGCATCCAACGTTGGATTTCTTGGTCTGCTCCAAATAGAACGGGCCATCAAGAGATGAGCCGCCCAAAAGATTTCCATCTGAGACAAACAACTCAGATAATAGTAAGTAGTCGTGAAGACAGTGTCCAACTTGGGGCATCTCTCCACGCAGCACCACTTGAGCCCATTCATTATAGGGATATTTGTCCCAAAAGTGTGTTCAGGGGCAACACTGGTGATGGAAGAACTGTCGTGCACGTGCAACGACTGCACACTGTCCATCACACTACGTATTGCCTTCCTTGCCCGCGTGCTGGACTTGTCGGTGACGTCACTAATTCCCTCGCCAATGTCCATGTGCAAGTCTAGTGGCAGAAATTGCGCTGAGCTGCTGCTACTGCTCATATCGATCTTTGCAGATATCTGTTCAATGCTGATGTCATGGTAGGTTAATGACTTGGGCAGAGACAGAACAGCAGCTAGCTGTCCAGTGCTATAATGACTGCCCATCTTTTCCTTGTGGCAGCCGCTTCCATCATCATCGCTGGTAGATGACAAGCAGAGATTCCACCTATCACATCGAATGGGTGCCCATGTCCAAAGAAACGGCAAGGACTGAAGGAACCTCATATCTGCAGCGGCAACAGATGCATGGCAATACTCGTTTACTTCGTCCTGCTGGTAGACCATCAAAGAACAATCACGTGACCATGCTGGTTTTCTGTTGTCCACCTCTCCTCTTGCCCGAGTGTCAATGCACAACAGCCTTAGTTTGTACATTTTGGTTTTGGGCCATGAAATTGAGCGGAGCTGCCCACATCCCATCAAGAAGAGTCGCTGAAGATTTTTCACTTCAACGACCGCTCCAAGGTCAAGGATTTTGATTGCTGTGTGCGAGAGGTCCAGCTCCTCAAGGTTTGGCAGTGACCCACGCAGTATAAAGTTTGCTAATCTTACACACCCAGCCAAGCTGATGTAAGATATTTCAACATTCTTCTTCTTGAGATCCTCATCTTCTCCTGCGGTATTCAATGAGAATGATTCAAGTGATGGAGGGAGTTGTTGAGGGCCAACATGCTCCAACCCAACACAACCATCTAGAATCAGTGTCTTGAGGCTTGTTGCACCCGAAAGGCTCGGCAAGACTTGTATGGTGCTGTTCCCAGATAGGTCAAGGAGCTCCAGATTCACCATAGCCATGAATTCATCTCTTCTTTCTGTCTCCCAAAGGTTTGTGGGCTCAACTACTTGGAGCTTGTGAAGGTTCGGCAGGCGTCTCCATGCAAGGTTGCTGGTCCAAATCCTTCCGTTGGTTATATGAACCTCTCTAATGTCTGTAGCCACCACTTGCTCTTCTGTTTCTGGGGGAAAAGCCAATGGCCAATCCATGTGGCAAACATCTAGCACCCATAGCCGCTGAAAAATTTCCACCGCTGGTTCACCTTTTTTCTCCTCCTCCTCCTCCCCATGTTGTAGTCCATCCATGCATCTATCCAGTCCAAGGAATCTTAAGTTGTGGCAGCAATGGAATGGAGGTGATGAAAAGCTGAAGGTACATCCACATAACTTCAGCACCCGGAGTTGATCTGCTTTATGGAACTTGTCACTAGGTAGTGATACTGCTTGTGGACTTTACTTTTTGGATCCATAGAACAGGGTTGTTGCCTCTGGAGGAACCTCTTTGAAATATGATTCAGTAATAGAAATCCATTGTTTCGAGGAAAGTTCCAGTCTCTCTACAGACTCCATAAGCTCTGCATTGGATGAGTAGTCTTCTAGTCTTATATGCTGCTGCAGAGCATGAGCAACCTCCCATGTCTGGTTGTCCGGTCCTCCTCCTATGATCCCATCGCAAACCCAGTAGCAGGAAGCATGGGTTGCCCAGTTGTAATCAATCATCTTCTTACCTTGGTTATTCAATAACAATAGGTACAAGCAACACTCTGTGGCTATTTTAGGTGTAACACCAAGGCCAAGCTTATGCATGTGCAAAGCGATTTCTCTAGCATCTTCTGCAAGGTATGCATTCCATTCTTTGTGATGGTAATCCACAGCATAAAAATAAAGGTGTGAATTCTCTACCTTTTCACGAATTTCTCTATTGAGGCGAAGCCATCCTCTGAAGGTCCACAGTACCTTAGTACCTAAAAATTCGAGCATTGGTATGCCAAAGCTAGCCAAGTCAACTGTGTTACTACTTCCATTGTGAAAGATAACTAGACATCTGTACTGTACTAGGTATCGACCTATCACTCCTGTTATGTCTCTAATCTCAGCTCTGGAGCCATGGTCTACCCCACTGAAATCGTCCTCCTCGTCTTGCCTGTCAAAATCAGCCGCTAGCTGTTGAGTGAGCTTGAGCTCGTTTGCGATCACCCTTTGCAATGCTCTTCGGCTCTTCCACATTGAACAGCCAATGTGGATGATCCTGTCGAATTTCTCTCGTAAAGATGGTGGAGGCTGCTCTGCAATAGCTCTAAGCACCGCAGAAGCGCTCAGCCCAAGCCATCCGTCGAAGTAGATGACCAGAGGTGCATCGTTGCTTGTGTCCTCTAAGTAAGGAACTATTTGTTGTACTGCCGTCTTGACATCGACCGCCGACATCTTCTCCATTTTTTATGCCAACAATTAACTAGTTAAGAAGGCCACTCTCACTCCACAAACACAATAACTAGCACAAGGAGCAGAGTACCGGTTTAGATCTTTCTTTTTCTTCTTCTTCTTTTTTCTTTGGTTGGAACTTAACATGTGGTCAAAAGCAAATAAACTAATATGATATATTTAAGAATTAATTGTTGCACCGATGAAGAAAAATATTTGTGCACAAGGTTTTAAGAATTAACCTATCGAGATGTTTTATTTTCTAGGACGGCTAATCTTATCAGCCCCCACTCTAATTCAAATAGAATTCAAGTACTGCTCGCCACCCTTGTCTCACATGGCTGCCGCCGCACACTGGCCGACTTACGCTTTTGCCGCATGGGGCCTCCAACTCTGTACCGCCACGTAGGGCGATGGTGGTGACCACCATCACGGCCCTGAGCGCTGCCATATGTGCCGTCCTTTGTCGACTCTACAACGTCCGATCCGCTCAGCCAAATCGGTAGGCTAGAGGATATCGCAGCTTTGGTCCACGACGGCGGGAATCCGGCCCCCCTCCGCGCCGACCAGCATTCCACCGCGTTGCTACCGAGGTCGTGGCTGCAAGCTGCCGTACTTGATCTAGAGCTTGGAGTAGACGAGATCAGGAGAGAGAGAGAGAGAGAGAGAGAGGAAAGAATGGATGGAGAAAGGGCGTGGGGAGTTGAGGACTTGAGGACCGCCAGCCCCGACCGAATTTGAACCACAAGACTGAAGGGCTATTATATAATACAACAGAAATAAATGTTGTAGTACGTAGAATACAAAATTATGAATATGTCTGTTTGATCTAGGGACTAACAGTTAGAAGGAATTAGGAGGACTAAATATGGGCTAACTTTAGGCTAATAAGAGCTCACGAGGACTAATTGATGGTTGGAACTTATCAGTCCTTATTAGCCTATAGTGTTGTAACATGGCTTTGGCGGGTGGCGAAGGCCCCCGACAGCAGGGTGTCGCCAAGGCGTCTTCGACCGTCTTAGGGCGGAGACCCAGCACTGACTAAAGGAAATTTCCCGGCTATGCTCGAAGGGTGCTAAATCCCTTCATCGCGGACTCCGCCAAGGCCAGGCACGCATCCCGCCGACCGCTCAGGCGGGTGTCTCCGGTATTACGGGCGGAGGCCGCCTTATCTCTAAACTAATCAAACAAATGATCTTGCCTAAGTGTGCGCAGGTACTCAAGCCTAGGCGCTCATGGTCCGTCGCAGCAAGCGCCGCCAAGATGGCCTCCCTAGCTGGCGGCAGGCGGAGACCTACGGATGATGTCTCCGCCCGGACCGGTGGAGACTCTCCAAGGCGACGGCGCGCCCCTGAAGGCGGAGGCCAAAGGCCGGGCGGAGACCTACGGATGATGCCTCCGCCCGGACCGGTGAAGATTCTCCAAGGCAACGGCGCGCCGCCGAACGCAGAGGCCAGCGGTAAGAACCATGGCCCCCGTGCGCCCGGGCGGAGACCCGCGGGTAACGTCTCCGACCGTCAAGCGGAGACCCACCGAGGTTGCGGCGCGCCCCGAGAGATGAAGGCCAGCGGTAAGAACCATGGCCCCCGTGCGCCCGGGCGGAGACCCGCGGGTAACGTCTCCGACCGTCAAGCGGAGACCCACCGAGGTTGCGGCGCGCCCCGAGAGATGAAGGCCAGCGCCGGGGACCCAGGCATTTGGGCCGAAGACCAAGCTACAGTGGGCCGGCTGCTCATGGAAGCCCATTACTTGAAAACGGTATGGCAGGATTGCCCCGCGAACAAGAGGCTAGCGGCAAAATATTCTAGGAATGTACTGTAGCAGTTGAGGGGCATTGTAATAAATTCTGTTATGTAGTAGTTGAGTCCTATAAATAGGGGACACTTGTAACCGTGGAGGTCGGTTGGTGAACGAATTAATGAAACCATAATTTTCCATGTCATTCCATTACTCACCACTCTCCCCCTTATCGTTCTTATCCCGAACCTCCGCCCGAGGCCGATCGTCCGATGGGCGGAGGCCTCGGTCTCCTCCACGCAGTGTGAAACCGCTAGTTTCAACATTGGCGCCCCACCGTGGTTGAGCCAAGGCAAACCAACGATGGCAGGGAAAAGAAAGACCACCACTAGAGCAGCAGTGACCACGGGTCAGCGAGGAAGGCCTAGGCGCAACATTTGTAGCGCCTACGCGAACCTTCGCGCCAAGGAGGATGACACAGAAAGCAGACGCCCAGGTCAACCACGGAACCCCAAGACCAAGAGATTCAAGATCCGGAGGCCCAACCAAACTCAGCCCACAAAGACCGAGCAAGAAGCTGCAATGTTGCAAGCCTGATTGCAAAGAGCGCAACAAGAGAGGGATAGAATGGCAGCAGCATTCACTGCCTAATCGCCAAGCTATTCAAGCAAAGACAAGCAGCAAAAATAAGGCAGCAGTTGGCAGTCCTACATCTTTGAGATGCTAAGTATGCAGACATGCAAAGACCAAAGCAACAACCTCGCAATCCCAGCCTCGCAAAGCAACACCATCTCGCAACCATGCTTCAAGGTCCTACGCCAAAGTGATCAGCCAGCCGACGATGCCATCTCAGGTGATGCGGAGGCCTATCGATCCCAAGTCCCCACTATCTCGAAGACATACAATAGTCGCCATGGCCAACAGCGTACAAGCCAATCACACTACCCAAGTTCAACGGAAAGACTGACCCCCATCAGTTCATTATGAGTTACGAGGCAGCAAAGTAGCCTCCGCCCGGCGGAGACGATGCCGTCTTGGCAAAGTCATTTGTCATTGCAGCCGAAAGGCGATACTGGCTTGGTATTCTATGCTCAAACCAAGCACGTCTATTCTTGGGAGAACCTCCGGGACAAGATATTGGCAAACTTCAAAGGGCTAACAGCACAGTCGCTGACTTCCACAGATCTGTTTCAGTGCAAGCAAATGCAGGGAGAGACACTACATGACTACTTCTAGAAATTCGTGCAACTAAAGGTGAAGGCACCAGATGTCCCAGACGAGATCGCCATTGAAGCAGCGATCAAAGGCCTCCGAATCGGGCCGTTCGCAGCACACTTAGCAAGAGAGAAACCAACCTCCATTCAGCAGTTGTATGATGAGTTTAAGTACTGTAGATCAGACAATGACGTACGCAAGAGGCTGGAGGAGCAAGGTCAAAATAGACAACAAAACAGTAGCAAAAATTCCTAGAAAACCTATACGAACCAGAATGTATCAAATCAGAAGCCAGGCCAGGGGCAAGTGCTCAGTATCGAGGGTCAACCCCACCCCGAGCAAGGGTAACAGGCAGCGCCAACACGGCCGGAGACCTAGACAAGGAACCAAGGTCGGCAAGGTTACCAAGGCAAAAACTACAACAGAAACCAAAGCCAGAAACAACGCAGGCCATATTGCGTCTTTCACGGCGAAAACGCAGGGCACAGCACCAAAGATTGTCCGGAGACAAAAGAAACACAAGAAAGGATGAAGAACAAGGAGACTGCCCAACCTCCGACACAGCAGAGCGCAAGACAGGTCAACACCACATACACAACTGGCCACTAGCAGTACTGCCCAATGTACCTAGCGCTAAATGCAACCCAAATACATCCCTCCACACTGGCCTCTGCCTATTACCCAAACTTCCTACCAGCATGGCGGTCATCACCTTCGCAGCAGCCTCCGGCGAGCAACTATAGGTCGGAGGCAAGCCTGACCTACATAAACCCAAAAAATCCCCATATAACCTACCTCGAAACAAACCCACCGGAGCAAAACCGAATAAGGTTTGAGCCTCCGCAGCCACAGCACCACATGCAGCAACTGCCTCCGCCACCACCACACAACCAACCCCCAACACCAAAAAATGAGCCAAATCCAGAAAACCAAGTCAACCCTCATGGAGCACTGCCAACAATAGGCATGATATTGCCAATCGCCGGAGGATCATCAATGGAGTTTCAAACGAAAAAGCAGAAAAAAGATCACCTCCGCCTGGTAAACAATGTAGCAGTCCAAGGCCCGGCGAAACACACAGATTGGTCCAGAGTCCCAATCACCTTCACAGAAGAAGATCTCCAGTTAGAGAGCTACCCTCACACAGACGCAATGGTGATAAAGACCAACATAGAGCATGGGAGATAAGCAGAATACTGGTCGACACGGGCAGTTCAGCAGATATCATCTTCGCAAATACATTCGACCAAATGAAGCTCAGCAGAAATCAACTACAACCCTCTGAATCCCCCTTAATAGGATTCGGAGGCAAGCAGATACAAGCATTAGGAAAAATCTCACTCCCAGTGTCGTTCGGAACCCAAGCGAATGCCAGAACCGAGTACATAACTTTCGACGTCGTCGATCTGTATTACCCATACAATGCCATCTTGGGCAGAGGATTCACAACCAAATTCAACGCAGCCCTGCATATGGCCTACCTGTGCATGAAAATACCAGCACTCCATGGTATTATCACAGTCCGAGGCAGCCAGAAAGAAGCAAGAAACATAGAGAAAGCTATCTACAGAGCCCAAAGAAACATCAATGCAGTCGAGTCGGCGAACAAAGAACTAGAGCCTCTGGACATGCCCAAAGGAGAAACAGATATGGCAGGTCAAGAAGAGACAAAGTTGATCCCTCTAGAAAAAGAGTTACCAGACAGAAAAGTAACAATCAGCTCAAAATTGTGCAAGGCAGAAGAGGAAGAGCTCATGGCAACCCTAGTCAAAAACAAGGACATCTTCGCCTGGTCAGCCTCCGACCTCCAGGGAGTCAGCAGGGACATCTTACAGCACGAACTGGATATCAACGAAAACATGAGACCAAGAAAGCAGAAACAGAGAAAAATGTCGGAGGAAAAAATCCTGGCAGCAAAGGCGGAGGTGCAAAGACTGCTAGATGCAAAAGTGATCAGGGAAGTCAAGTATTCAGAATGGCTTGCAAACGTAGTCTTGGTACCAAAGAAAAATGGCAAAATGAGAATGTGCATAGATTTTACAGATCTGAATAAAGCTTGC